TGTATACTAATTATTCCTCTTCATCCTGGCTGTAAGACATCCATCTTGTAGTTAATCATAGTAACATTATATTAAAATGAGATGGTGAAGACCACAAATCCTTCTGTTCAGTCTAATTCAGACTATTTCAAATTCACTAGTGTAGCTACAGAGGAGAAAATTAAGCTAGTGTTTTTACATATATTTGTTACACCATGCATTTGGTTTTCAGTTTGAGGGCAAAAGAGCCTCCCTTCAGACAACTGAATATTATGTTACATCAATTCTATAACTGAAAAGTAATTTACTTTCTTTCCTAGGAACCAGGCAATAAATAAGTGATACGGAAAAACTAGATACTCATCTTATTCAGTCATTCATTTTGCTAGGGAAAATATAATTTCACTTTATTAATATAACGTCACCTGAAGTCTAGGGAATATATGCCACTTAATGTCTCTTACATCCTACCGTAAAAGGCTATTTTTCCTATATATTAAGGAACAAGTATTTACAACAAAGAGCAACTGAAATTTTATTCACAATCAGAAGAAACAAAGATATTTTATTATAAAAGGTAAATTATTTTATTTCAATGTGCTATTTACATTTTTGTAAAATAGTTGTCTTAAAAAAAGTCACTCAGTAAATCCCTTCCCGGTGTAAGGCCTATTAATCAAAAAATTGTTTTGACACAAACAACTGTTATAAGAATTACTACAACGAAATAACTAACAGCACATCCATACGTGAATGAAACCCTCTGCAATATACAGATAGTGACATCTATTTTAAGCATCAAAGGGAATTACAGATTAGCCCTTTCATCAAATAGTCACGCGAGATTATTTCAAATGCTGTTTCCTGAAAGAAAACACACAGACACTTGCATTCTACCAACAGAAATTGGGTCACTGAAATGCCACTACACAGCACTGCTTACAGTTTGGTCTTCTATGTCTTTTTTTCATATTGACTGAATAGCTAAGAAAATAGGCATATCCTCAGGGATCAGAATGCATATGAAGTTGTATGCAACCTAAATTAGTTTTTTTTTAATTATTTGAAAACTACAAAGCATAGCTTTTTAAAAAGAACTTTAACATCCAGAAAGAATGTATTCTTATGAATAAAATCATCATCTGACTTGTATGTTGCATGAAACAAATCTTAAGAAGTGTCTATAGCATTAACTATTTCGGCTTCATTTGTTCTGGAGTTCACCACATTTATTTTAATAGATTTTAAATAGTCATTTGTCTAAGTGGTTCTTCCAGAAAAAGTGTGTACTTGTTTCTTCTGAATTAGAAAATAATAAAATTCCAAAGATTGATTCCAAATATCTGACCTGAAGAATGTATTGGAAAACCGTTAGCATACTGTTTAGAATAGAAAAACAATCCATAAGAATTCATAATTAGACAGGCTTAGATCAAAATCAGTCTACTAATGGCATAGGCATGTCAATCCAAGATTAGCTAGCAATTGTGCACCAATTTTTTAAATGTCCTGAATATACATACTGGATCTGAATTGATAAGTGTGTTGAGAGATCTACTTAATTTAATGTGATCTGTCTGTTAAAAACCCACTAAATTACAATTAGTGTCATAACACAAATGGCCTGTTGGGAAGAGGACCGTTATCAGTGGAGTATTAACAATTTGTGTCATTGTACTGAAATAGATCCACTTCATTTGCCCAAATCTGGATTATTATTTTTTAAATGTTGGCAACAAAGTTACAAGATATTGCACCTGCTCACTGAGGACTAGTTGATCACACAACATATGGCCTGATACCAAGCCTACTAAAGTCAATGGGCTTTGGCTCAGTCTTCTAGACAGCCTCAAGGAATAAAAATCAAGAGACAACTGTCAAAAACAAAATATCCTACTAGCACACATTGTCAATGAATAGCAACATTCACTAGATTTTTAGGTCCACACATTATAACCAGATGCCATGTTTCTATTATTCTGATTTTTTTTTAAATAACCAAAGTACCAAACATGCACAGAGTTGAATTTCTAAAATAGATCATCAGGTCTCTGAGCCCATTCCCTCCCCTGCCCCCCTCCCATTTTTTGATTTTAGAAGAGGAGAATAATTTCACAAACTATGAAAATCAAAATTAATCTGCTCCTAAATTTTCACTGTATCACCTCAAAATGTACAGTATTATTCATAACTACATGTTACCATTAGGAATGTAGAGTTTACAGATAGCTATCTGGCACTGACAAGCTTCTCCGACACTTTGTATTGCATCACCTCCCCTTCCTACTGCACAGGAAAACATTTCCACCTAGAGCCCTTTTATAGAATGTCTAAGAAAAAAAATGCAGCAGAATATCTGCTATCATATCAAAACACACAGCTCACATGTGGCCCTATCACACATTGCTATGTCTTCATGTTTGTTAGTCTTAATGAGTGACCAGATCTCAAAGAAGTTAAATATAGTGTTCAATTTCCTCTGTTCATCTTATATTAGAGACATAACAGACCTGCACAGTTTAGCCAATTTCAGAATGTTTAGATTTTAAATAAGTAAGTAATTGAGAAGGGTGAGAATCATTTCTGAATTAATATTTAACGACCAGTAAGAGTCAGGACATTCATAGATGTATCACTACACATACTCTCTATCAGAATAGACTATGCAGCAGCCATTCATTGACAGGGATGCCCATTCCTGGAATGGGTGTTGTCTCTAATAGAATCCTGTGTTTTGATTTTGGGGAGCAGCCAGTTCCTTTTAAATTGTCTAAATTTATTGCCATATGATAGCTTTGCAAAATATTTACTTCCTTCTGCTCCAACTTTGCTATGGTGTTTTTTTGTCTGTGCATGACCATTGAGTGCCACCACATCTAGTGTACATATAGTGCACATAACATACAGTTACCACAGAACGGTTACCCTGTTAGAAATATTTCACACTGTGGTTCTCTCCATCTGTGGAACACAGTTGTACAAAGCAGGGTGAGGCTTAAGAACTACAGTATATATGTGTTTTACAAGTCCTGGTTTACTTTTCTCAATGACTAAGTGATTTTCATGTTTGTAGCTTGGTATTGTAGTTTCAACCTAATGAACCATGCACAGCTTTTTAGTTTTCATGTCAAAGCCACAAACCTCTACTGTACCTCCCTCCTCCCAATTTACAATTGTATGTATTTTGGAAATATTTGACCTTTTACTTAAAAAAAATAAAATAAAAAGGGTCATCTTATTTTTGACATGGCAATGATTTGGAATAGTATGGCAAATATGACAGTCACATATGATAATGGTGAGAGCACACTGATTCCTCTGTCCTGTCCTATAGAAAGCTAGGGAAAGAAATGTTTAAGATCATTTGATGTGTATTATTACTCCAGACAGTATTTCCCAAATGTTGACATTTAAACTTTGCACTCAGCAAGACTCATCGATGGTATAATGGCTCCTGGGTTGGTTATTTGCTTGTCTTATTAGCATCCTGTTTCATGCAAGATCTAGGCTCCAGCACTTCTATTTGGAGAGGTCCTCCTTAAAACACCGCACATGCAAAATCTGCAGTGTTGTGTCAGATCACCACAGGCTCTCAGAAGTAATTAAACATGCAGACTCTGAGAGGCACATTTCCCATCGTACTTGGCACAGGTGTGGCAGCCCCTGTATGCCAGTTACTATAGAAATTTAAAAAACCAAAACACACCTGTATCAGATCAAAGTCCAAGCAGGGGGCTGGCTCCTGCTCTCATTGAAATAGGAACGGGATCCAGCTCCATTTGCCTTAGTTATTTCTACAGTATTTTGTCCTTCTCCTTTAATTCCTTTCCACCCCTCCATCACCAGCACCACAAGGGGTGGGGGTTACCCGTGCACATTCCTTTCAACCTGCACCACCCACTAGCCTCCAGGATGGAGGGCCTGCCTAGGTGTTTTTGGCAATAATCCCTGGCAATGGAGGTTTCCCCAGGCCCAGGTTACAACCCACCTCCCCTTTCTCACCTCCAGTCACCTGCATCCTGTCAGGCAAAGGGCAGGGCTCCCTCCTCCTCATTACAGCACAGGACAATCCCTCCTATGGGCCACACAGAAGCTAAGACTAGGAAAACACATGAAGGGGGCGAGGGGGAATAGGGTAGGAAGGAGAATAGAGCGGGGGGGGGGGCAGGGAATGAGCCTCCGCCCTGCCTATGCTGCCCAAGAGGCAGAGCAGAGATTTGAGGCGCTCTCCCGGGCAGCGCCAGGTTCCCAAGTGCGGAGGGGGGCGGGTTTGGGAAGCCGCGTCTCCAAGGTCCCAGCGAGCGGAGCCCGGGAGCGCGGACCCCGCGGCACAGCGGTGTCTGAGCGCACGGTGGGAGATGGGAACCCGGCCGCGCCTTCCCCGCCCCAGCAGGTGCCGGCGGCTGCCGACCCCGGTGCGCTCCGCAGCGTCTCGGTCTGTTCATTCTCCCCACGGTGGCAGCGCTCCCCAAGAGCCTCTAGCGGCAGAAAGGAGCAGAGCAACCCGGCAAGTCTCCGGAGTTGAATCCTTCCGGACAGCTCTCGCGGCGCTGGCTGGCGGGCAGATGGGTGTAGGTGCAACCCCTGTGCTCTTTGGGTTCTCCCCTTCCCCACCCCTCTGCAGGTCTGCTCGACGCGCATTGCTGCCTAAGAGCCATAAGGACATGGGGCTTCGATGCCAGCCACAAATGCGGAAAGCCAAATAAATAGAAGTGGGAGGGGTGGGGAAGGGGAAATCCTGGTGTTAAGATCTCACTGTTGCCATTAAGCACCCAAAAGTGCAACGACAAGACACTTCCTCATCGCCATCCCTCGTCGCCACCTGCAACATCCTTTCTAATTAGAATGCCAATAACTTTGATTGCAGGAGCAGAGAGGAATCTACCAACAGCCAGAGAGTGGATGAGAGCGGGGAGGGGCGATTTCATTTTTGATTGCATTTATTTCCCCCCCCGCAAGTTATTTCTTCTCTAAATATCAGAAAAGGACCCCAACTGTGTGCCCCCCCTTCCTTCACTTACCTTGAGGCGGTCCTAATTATCCTTAATGTCCTTAAAACAAACGAGGTGGGACGCAGTCAGACCGCAGACTTGCTTCTGAGTCCACAGTTCCCCCCCTTCGGTGAAAGGAGACAGGACCCAAACCAGCTGAGAAATCTTGGCCGGTCCGAGTGCTCCCGGGGCTCCGACAACCCACAGCACCGACGGGTCCCTCTCGCCTCCTTTACAACTTGGCTTGCATTTAAAATTCTCTTCTTTCCCTTCGCAGAAAATCAAGACCAACTGCCTAGATCAGACAGGACCGAACTGGGGGAGGAAGGGGACCACCCCCAGCCTTGCCTTCTCTTCTTTAATTGAGAAATTCTCTCTTCCTGCCCCTCCGCTCAGCCCCGGCGTGGAGAGGGGGCCCGGCGGTCCCCAGGCGAGGGGCTCTCCCTATTCCTTTTCAGGAGAGTCCTTACAGGGAGGAAACTTTCAGGGGCTGCTGAAGCAGGAGCAGCAATGGCAGAGGCAGCGCCAGCCCTAGGTGAGGCTGGGAGGGGGCGAGAGGGAGAGCTGCTCCTTCCAGGGCTGCAACGCGCACACCGGCAAGTCCCGCAGCAGCAAGAAGCGGGGCGGGGGGGCAGATAAATGAAAAATAAAATAAACGCGCCACAAAAACAGCAGGCAAGCCACCAAGGACTCCTCGGGAATTAGCAGACTCTGCAACAAGGCAGCCGAAGTCCTTCCCCCGCGAGCCCCACCGGCTTCTCTCAGGCTGCTGCCTGGTCTGGCAATTACCACCCGCTACACTGGAGGAAGGCAGGCAGCTATTAACCCCTTCCGCCCCACCCTACCCACTTCTACGGGAAGGAACCGCGGCGCCGGCTGCGGCCGCTGCTTCTCCTCTCGCTGCGGGTGCAGTTTGCATTGAAGTCCAAGGCAACCCCGCATCCCTTAGAATAGCGGCGCCCAGGCATCCCCAGCTTTGCCTCCCGCAGGTTCTCCCCCTTCGAAGGCAGCTAAGAAACGTCTGCCTCTGCCTTCGCCCGCCGTGCCGGGTAAAGTCGGTTGGCATTGGTGTGTGGCAAGCCGCCTGCGTGTTTCTAACTTTTTATCTGCGGTTCTATAGCGGGTTAGACGGTAGCAGGTGGATCGCTCAGCTGGTAAAGGGGAGGGGTGAGGCGAGGGAAAGACCCGGCCACCTTAGCAGCCATTTCCAAGCGGTGCACGGGGCAGAGGTGCCGGGAAGCTCGTGACTTGCACCTGCCTAGGTTTATCCTCTCCTCCCTGCCACCCCGGCTCGGGCGCTGCTGCTCGCAGGAGGGGGCCGGTTGAGCCAGCCAGTGGCCGGAGGAGGCAGAGGAGCGATTGCTAAGTAATACCGCAAAGAGCTCCTTTCCATTCCCGGGCCACGGGGGGCAGTTGCCCCGGTGTAGAGTCTCTCAGGGAATGGGGGGTCTCCCCCCCTCCCCCAGTAAAGGCTGTAAGATTCGGCGTGCAGCGATTCGGGTAAAACTTCTGGTGACTATTGCACAGGGAGAGAGGGGCGTGTGTGTATGTAGACAGTGCGTGTCCTTGCCCTGCGATAGCCCTAGCGCTGGAAGCTGAATCGAGTGAAGAGCTTTAGCTAGGAGGCCCACCCCCTTCCTTCCCTGGGAGCCGGGACAGCTTTCCCAGTCCCATCGCCTTCACGTGCCCTGCAGGTAGTTGACAGCGCCGCTGGCCAGAGGGATAGGAGCGGCTGATCGCTGCTCTCTAGCCCTGTGTCCATCTCCGCCAAGAAGTCAGAGGAGCGGGGGCTGGGGCCGCTTTGGAAGCAAGAAGAGGATAAAGAACCTCGTCCTTCCTCAGGTGGTAATGAACGTGCCAAAGGAAGCCACCAGACAGGGTACGGCAGGGAGAGGAGCTGCAGCCGGGGGAGAGGGAGGAAAGCTGCTCTCCAAGGTGCTGGGCTCGCATGTGGTGGGGAGGATGCTGCCACGGGCATGAAGTCAAGCCCGCAAGGGGGGCAAAGTGGGTGGGCAAGACAAACAAGCGGTGCTAGCAGGAAGCGTAACCGATGCTGATTGCGTTGGTTCCCGATCTGAGTTCCTCTTAGCATCGCAGGGCAGGGAATTGTGTGCGCAAGGTATGACGCCAGCGTCTGTCTCTTTCCAACATCATCCAGAAAAATTTGGACAAAGACATAGATATGCACCAGCCCTTGATGAGTGAATGCTGTCAGATACAGCCTCCAACAAGCGAGGGAAAATCTGAACCTGTCTCAAGCATCGCTGAGAAAACAAGCAGCAAGTTTCTTTGCGGCTTCTTAAAATCCTGGATAGCTGCTCGCGCAGAACTCCAGCGAAAACATTCGGAAGTCGACCTTTTCCAAGGTTCAGAACTGGACTCGGATCCTTCTACCAACAGATGGTTCATAGGAGTGTCCTTAACCTGGGTCGGGTCATTTGTAACAGCCCGGACCCATCTCCATTTTGAATAGGGAAATACTTACAAAAATTGTTTAATATTAATAAGTTGTATGCAAATCAACCTAGAAAACTGTAGATAAGATTATAGTTTAAGATTTTCTACTGCTGTCAACACCCAGGGGACCATTGTGAGCCCTCGGAATGGTTACCACACCGATTATTCTTCCCTGTGGAGTGGACTAGGACATCACTTATATCATCAAGATCCAGCAGGGACCACTTCCTCCTCGGACACTTGTGACAAAGTAAAAGGCACTTCCCCTGGAATTTTCATTGGCAAAACTGTTTAACTTCTCGTTTGATTTGCAAGACTAAAATCATGTGTTTCTGCCACTTTCTCTGGTGCAGATTCTAACGTAATACTTGCAATCTACATTTACATAAACATTTCTCTAAAGAAAACTAGAGCAATAATGTTATTCTTCATGAGAATAACTAAGCAACTGCTGTTCTTGGAAGTGCACACTTAATTATATGCTGAATGATTAGGGCTGCATATCTAGCACTTTTACAGCTATTGCTAGGAAAGATTCTTCAACCATTAATGAAATTGACAGGTTTCCCTTTGAAACCAGGAGTATTTTACACGCAAAGTGAAAGGACCAGAGACATTGGCAGACTATAACTTTAAGAAAAAGAGGCACATTTCAGGAGTTTTCTACTCAGTAACAGGAAGACTGATTGTACTGTATATCCTTTACACACGTATCCAGTAGTTGAGTAATAAATGTCAACTGCTCTCTCCTTTACTCTGGAGTCTTTAAAAAAAGAATCAGCACCCTCCCCTCCCCCCCCACCTTTAAAACCATTCAGGACACATCATGGGCCCTTTAATATAATAGTGTTTCATGGCTGCCTACAGCTCTGAAAGTTGGATGACGAGTGCATCTGTGTCTTTCAACACTCAACACACCAGTACAATAGGCTTCTCTGAAAAGCAACACTTATGCATTTTTTATACATTATATAAATTAGTTTAGTTAAACCAGTGAAAGTGATGTATGACAGTTAAGTAAGTTTACAATGGTTTATATCTACTTAGCTTAACACGCCAATTATACAAGATAAAAAGAAAGATTTCAGGAGAAAAATGTTTATGGCTCTTCAGAAGCCAAATGGTTGTTTTAGTAGGGGGAAAAAAGCTACAATACAATTGTGAGCTATAGTTTCCTTCGCTAGCAGAGGTAAATAGTAGTTCTTTCTTCTTGTAGTGAAAAGTTTTTGCAAGTAGTAATTGTCAATTACTAATAAGGGCAACTTCAGTGACAAGGAACCACATTTCCTTTCCTTTCCTTGCAACAGAAGCTCCTCCTTCACCTGCTATAGTCAACACAAATGACAGTACTATATCTGATGTCTCCTGTCTCTCACCCTTTGGGTGTGAGTGACACATACTATACCTTGGGGGGGGGGGTGTCTTGTAACCCCCATATTTCTCATCTGTATATAATTGTGATATTGTATATAAAGCATGCTATGTGAGGTATCAGAAAAAGATTATGATCAGCTGAAAAAAATCACTGCTCTATCTAAATATATATCTTTAGTGCATATGACGTTATGAGATAGTGACAACCATACGGCACAAACATGCTAAGTTGAGGAATCAGCCAGATATTAGCTTCCCAGAAGCAACTGGAATGAAATTAACCAATGCCCAGGTAAGGTGTCAAACAACCCATCAACAGCCATTGGCCAGCAAGGGAGCTACAATTCAACAACTCACCTGCATGAGACCACACCAGGGGAATTGCTCAAGCTTGCCTGGAGACTCAGCAATGCCCCCCAGATATGCCTGGACTTGTGTTCCCCAAGCACAGGGGACTGAGGGTATAAAACAGAACAGAGCAGGCTGATGCTTTGCCTTTCTCCTGCCCCACCCATGCTGCAAGCAACAAGGACACTGAAAAGACTTAAAGCAGATGAGACTAGCCCGATTTCCACAGTGAAATCTTTGTACTATGAACTGCAATATACAGTCATGAGAAAAACTGCTTAGTCTAATTGTTGCCCAGTCGAATAGGGTTGAGAGTTTAGACTACATGCTTATATTTTATCTCTTTTGGTAACTAACTGACTTTTTCCCATATCACTTAGTCACTTAAAAATATATATATCTTTTGTAGTCAATACATGCATTTTATGGTTTATCTTTTCCAGTGAGTTTGAATGAAGTGTGTGGCAAATCTACTCAGGTTTTGCAAAGGCTGGTGTATATCCATTGCCCACTGATGAAGTGTTAAACCAATTAATAAATCTGATTGCTTCTCTTGAGCAGTGCAAGGTGACATATTCCTGAGGTTCAAGGCTGGGAGCTGGGGGGGATTGGGCTGGTGCCTTCCTCTGTGTGATTCATGAGTGGCTCTGAGAGCCTTCATGGAATCTAGCTGGGTATGGGGAGCCACATGCTGTTGTGCTGAGTGATAACAGCATCTGGAGGGGTTTACTGCTGGTCATGCGCAAGGCATTGTGAGAGACAGCCCAGGCTGGGGAGAGTTCAAGGGGCACAGCGTTCCCATAGTCCTAGGCTGCAGCCTGGTGATCCTGTCACAGTGAGGCTGCAGCCTGGTGATCCTGTCACAGTGAGGCCACAGACTAAGGTTTCCAAACACAACCAACAATCGTTGGCATGTGATAAACAAGTAGTCAAAGGCCTGGCTTTGACTGGCTCCAGCTGTCTTTGCTGTAATCTATAAAAGAAAGCACAACTCATCCCAAAAGCAAATGTCTATACAATTTGTTCACATAGAAGAACAAAGCTTTTAAATGGCTTGGAATTAGAGAACACAATGGGACTACACATTTATAATAAAAACCCTGAAGACGCATGTTGCAAACTCTGCAAAAGAAAAAAAGCCATGAATTCTACCAACATTTAATGGTGGTTGGTAGAATATTACTTGCAAAAAGGAAGGTTTTACTTGGCCTCCTACATCTTGTGAGCCTACATTTACAAGAGTGACTTGTAAATTTAGGTACCACAATTTTTGGCTACCCCATTTGAGATGCTTTAATGGGTCCTGATGTTCAAAGAGTGCTAAGCATGCAGCTTCCAAAATTAAGGTATACCCTTTCAAGGTATATCAAATTGGGCACCTAAAATCATTAGGCAGTTTTGAAAATTATGGGCACAGTTCTGAAGTTTATAATTTCTAGTTAAAGGAAATGCCTAAAAAAAAAATTGCTGCAATTTTAGTCCAGTCCTGATAACGGAGAGATTACTGTTCTAAAAGGATTGCACTGATGTTTTCAGACTGGGTGGAAATTGAGTACTGGATATGGAGGTGTGTACAATTTGCCAGTAAAATAATTTTTCTGAAGCTTTACAAACAGCAAGACAAAGTACTCCTCCTACTCCAAGAAGTATACTGACAAGAAGATAAATGGAAGCCTCTTCTAGAGGCTGCCACCTCATGAAT